ACATTATGAGTAAAAAGATAATAAATTAAAATATCTAAAAAAAAATAAAAAATATAATTTATTATTTTTTTAATTAAAATTGTTATTTTGTTTTATCATTTTAATATCTTCATTGAAAGCAGAAGCTCATCCTAGCGGAGATACCCCAAAGCTAAACGTGATAGGTCTGTATTGCGTGAGTGACGGATGGGACCGCCCAGAGGCAGCGTTTCCTAATACCGACCTAATGATTTCATCTTCGCTAGATAAATAGAGATCACACCATAATGAGAGTCTGTCAGTTCGAGGGCTATTTGTTATGATTAGGTTGTGGGTAGCTTTTATTTGAGATTTTGATTGTTTTAGATTAGTATCTACATACATATAAGTAGTCGGTAGTAAAGGAGTTATAGCGCTTCGCTGGCTTTTTGGGGGTTAGCGTTATGGAGATTTAAGAATTGCGGTGACTCCACCGCAATCCTTAAATCTCCAAAACCCTACTCCTCCACTCGGGATATTAAGAATTTGATGATGATTAAAGGCCTCGGGTAACCTCACTTAAACGGTAAAACACAGCGCTGTAGTTGTTTCACGCCAGTTTTTATAGGGCTGGCGTATCGAGACACAGACTTGTTACATGTTAAAAGTCTATAAGATAATATTAAATAGCTGGAGAGTTTGTTTGTTTATTTGAACGCCCTAATCTCAGGAACTACTGGTTCGATTTGAATTTTTGTATTCGGAAGTCCATTTATCTAGGGAGGTTTTAAGCTATAAATTATCACGCTACCATCTGTAGAAGCCGAGCTTCGGGTGGCGGTGGAGGCGAAGCGCAAGAAAAGTATAATATAAAAAAAATATTTATCATAATTTCGCGACGCCACTTGTATTTAAAAAAATATGTTATTAGGTTTGACAAAGGAAAACAAAACAATATCCTCGAGTTACCCAATCGATTGGCTATTGTTTCGTTGACAAATATCTAGATTTTTATTAACAAGTCAGAAGTTTCACCAAATTTCATGACGTCGCCGTGAAGTTTATTTTTAAGTTTAATTAGCAAAGACAATCTTCTACACACGTGACGCTTTATTTATCCTTGCGGAGGAATGCACGCGCGTAATGATGTAACGACTTTGGAATAACTTTCGTAATACTAAGAGATGGTATATAAATAACTGCAGCGGACAATGAAATCACTCTTAAACTTGATATGCCCGCTACAACAGCTAGTGTGTAGATTTTTATTACACTACACAGAGCATACCGTTAGAATCCTTAAATTATCCCGACCTATATAGCCTATGTTGTGTCTTAAAAAAACCAAATTATGGTTAGGTTAGGTTAGATAATTTAAAAAAACTCAACATGTTTATGATAATTGTTTAGAGTTTGAAGTGTATATGTAAAAATATATTTCATTAGGGATTCTAATTTGAGACATTTTCAAGAAAAACTAATATTTATTATGAGATTAATTTATTTCTTCGACGAGTACTTAGGTATATACTTTGACATTATATCACTTAAATAAGATGAATAATAAAAAAATAAATAAAAACACGCCTGCTATATTAGCATCCTATTAGCGACATTTTTATAGCAGTTACTGGAATAATAGCAGTTAATAGAGTCTGTAGGTTTAGATGGTGTTAAATAAAGGTAAGCAATTTTGGTACCTATGTCTATGTAAGTATGAATTATTTAAATCTAGTTTATTAGCTTGCATCAATTTAGGTAAATACCTAATTCAAAACATATAACATAAAAGTTTTAGACAATTTTTAGATAAAAAAACTATGAAGAGTAATCAGTCAAAATTATTTTCCTAATAACTATTTTTTTTTAACATTAAAATTACCTTAACCGTTAGACCATAGTGCGTAGATGCGTCATACATTTTATATGTGTAGTGCTTAATAGAAATGTAAGTAAAAGAAGTTGAATTTGTAAAGAATGAGTCATGGGAGAATTTGTTCTATATGAATGAGTGTGTGTATTTCAGAGTGTATACCTAAGTATGGTAGGTATAATTCTAAGACCATGATACAGGAAGAAGTTCTAGTGTGGAAATGAATCTATATTTATTAAAAAATCGTACTAAGTTTTATTTTTATGACAAAATAAAAGTCTTTCATCTTTAAACTCTCTGATATAAGGTACATCTGTATTATCTACATAGATAACAAAGGCAGAGGTATGAAAACAAAATGTCACTCATTGTTATATAAAGAAATAAAATCAATAAATGTAATTTTACTTCTGATGACCACAATAAACAGCGAGTCACCCAGTTGCTGACGTCGACTTCTGAGACAAACTTCATAGATACATCTGTATAATCTACATAGATAACTAAAGCAGAGGCATGAAAACTAAATGTGATCCATTGTTACACACATGCCCAACAAAATAATACAATATAGCATTTCACACAAACACTATACACATCCACGTTTAACCCTCCACGACCCCAATTGAATGTATCACACCACGCATGCGTGGTACTCTCACTATAACATGTTCAAAGCTTAGAGCACAGGTTTTGTGTTCGTGTATTATTATCATTGGATGTGGCGTGTGATGTATGGTGTAGGTCTGTTAGGGCGCGGATATACTGAGCTAATGTAGTGATTGATGTGACGTTATATTAATATTCTTTTTACAAGCTTTTTTTTTCTTTTCTTATAAATTTCCTTTTTTCTATGAGTGTTCTCAATGTGTGGATATTATTGTGGATTATAGTCGAGGTGTTCCGGCTATGGCGGAGTTTTTCATGCATGAGGATGCAAGATTTAAATCTGAAAAGTACCGCTTTTCAGACTTAAATCTGTATTTTCTACGATTGATTAAGACACCACTCGCAAGTGGTATAGGAAAATATCTTGTCATAACGCCTTGAGAAAATGTGTGAGTAATTCTCCTTCCATCTGTGGGAAAAGATACGTTTGTTCAGCAATGGACACTCATAGGCTGATGATGATGATTTATACTGAAATTTTATATAGCTTAAAAGAAACACACCTTTTTGTCGGGGAAAAATAAAATATTTTGGTATAAGAATTACAAATATTTTTACAATCACACAATTAACCACAACGAAATCAGATTCTTAAAAATACTTTTATGGAATAAAAGTAAAGTCGCATATAAATTCAAATCACTATTTGACCAATATCCCGGTGTGTCCCGGCCCTAACAGTGTTCATATCTGTGCAATCAACGTCACAGTCGATAGCGTGATCACTGTTATTAGTGCGCCTTTACACAATTACCATTTAAGTTTTAACTATATAATATGTTTCGTTGAGATTGGCCATTTACTTATTTTCTTCTTTAATTAATGAAATCAAGTAATTGGATACCTTTTTAGAGTTCCGTAGTAAACTAGGAACCCACAAACTTAACATCATATATCACCCGTCTAGTTTGTATTCAGATTCCCTGAATTGCGGTTTTAAGATTTACAATAACTCTTAAGTAAGTTATTGTGACAAACGAGAAACTACGAAACCCTACACTGATAGTAGCCAAATACGTGAGACTCTACTAAAATGTATTGAAAAAATAGGTAACGACTTACGCGAATTAACTGAGCAAAATGCTTAATGTATTTAGTTTCAAGTCACAACGGGACTTTAGATGTGGTCGCCCGATAAGCACGCTACTCATGAATAAGAGTACAACTTATGATATTCTGAACATTAGAACCAAAAAAACTATTTAAGTATGCTTAATGAACATACAAACTATATAATCGATACATTATGCTGTTTTAGTTAAAGCTAAATCAAGTTAGCAGTATAAAATCTCATTCTAGGCATATTTCAGAAAAAAATAATTTTAAATAAATAATTTAAAGGATAATTTAATTTTATTTTAAATTAAATTAGAAATATTATTAAATTGTTATTTATTATATTGGAAATAATATAGGTGTAAATTAAATCACAGAAAATTTTAAATAGTCTAAAATTTCTTACTTCTACTATCAGTAATTAAAAAAGAAATTTGATACAACTTACGAATTTGCAGGGGAAGATAATTTTTATGAGCCGTAATGGGCTCAGGCCAGGCCATCGTGACGGCACTATATTTTTATTAGAGACCGGCTAAAGAGGCTGAGCAACAGACGAAATCCTGTAGCAGCTAGTTATAAAAAAAATAGCGCGACGCCAATCCTCGCCATCGTCACTACAGTGCAACATCTCCGCACGACTTAAGCTGTACTCCACGAGTCCACGAGTGACGCAACCGAACTGTTTCTAAACGAACAAACGTTCACAGTTCACACATTATTTTACTTTAATTTATTTTAGTACCAATTATAAAGAGGTCTTTTTAGTTTTTATTTATTTCCTATGTTTTTGTATAGTACTAGTAGTTGAGTAGGCAACAAATTTGTAGAAGTATGTAACTTGCTTGGAATGAGAAGAAAATATGCCCTAAAATATTTGAATTAGGAATGGAGTGCGTTTTAAGACAGGTTATAGATTTTATTGGGAAGTTCAGCAAACAAATTTTTTTTTGTTTCTTCTGACTCTCACACATTCGTTTTATCCATATGCGTAACCTCCCGGTTTTTGCTTAGGTTTTATTCTACTACTATTTATAACTTTTGAAGTAAAATATTACATAAATTTACAATGTAATAAATACATCTAATAGTGTTTAGTGTAGTGTTGTGAATATTTTCTTAGCGATAGTATGTTTGTCTTTTGTGATAATTTTCTTATGTATTGTGATAAGAAGATGTGTTGTGTAGATTTTGTAGCGCATGTTTATGTGATGTGTGAATATGTGGCTCCATTTTGAGGCTGGTATATTGGTACGACTGGCTACTTTTATTTCACCATTTCATATTCACAATGGAAATGTAAGTATATCATAATAAAACCCGAAGTGTTAAGTTTTGCATAGTTTATTTAATTTACATTTAGATCACATAGTGACTCCATTATATTCTATACATTTCTTATAAATATGTACAAAATATTTTAAGCGTAATGCGTAGTTTTTTTTTCGATTTTATCTATTTGCTTGTTTACTTATCATAAATTAATTAATCTATCCTTGGTTTAGTATCTGTATCCTTCTTCAGGGCTGAAGCTTGGGGGCTGGCGAGGTCCTCCGAAAGCCTGTCCAGGTTTGTCCTGTCCAGAAGGCCCGAAGCTAGACTGAGGGCCGGCCTGTCCAGGCCTGTTTTGACCTAAGGCACCGAAGCTAGGTTGAGACGCAGAAATTCCAGGCCTGTTCTGTCCAACAGGACCAAAACTGCCTTGGGCACCCTGAGCAGGACCAGCCTGAGGTCTTGACTCAGGGCGGTTGTATTCGTAACCTTCGTCGGACATAGCAGAGCTTGGTCGTTGAGATCCAAATGGTCCCTGGGCGTTCAATCCGGATACTGGACCGGCCACATTGTTGGGCTTAGGAATCCCGAAAGAGTTGGCACTAGGTGTGTATTGGTTAGCAGAGTCAGTTGGCCTGAAAGAAGAGCCTTGGCCATTGAAACTAGGAGCTGCGTTAGATGGGGCGTTACCAGAAAGTGATCCAACTGGCCCTCTGGGATATCCTTGGTCATTAGATGATACAGGGAACCTTGCGTTTTGAGAAGAGGAAGGTGCAGAAGTAGGGCCAGCTGAGCCAGATGATGGTCCAAAACCTGACGTAGGGGCTTTATCAAAAGAGGAAGACTGGCCAGTTTGTGCAGAACCTGCAGGTCTGGATGGTCCAAATCCTTGAGGAGTAGGTCTAGAGTAAGCTGGACCCTGAGCTGGCGCTGATTGACCAAATTGTCCAGGTCGGCCAGATCCGCCGAATTGAGCCTGAGGTCTGTTGTATTGATATCCATCATCTCCACCTTGAGCTGACTGTCCTTGTGGTCTCGCAGCAGGTCCATTGTTTCCTAATTGTCCAATAGCAGCGACGGGCGAACCTTGGTTTCCGACTGGTTGAGATGAGAAACCTTGGGGTCTGGACGGTCTGGTAGAACCTAAAGGAGAAGAGGCAGGGGCACCAAACCCGGGGATAGGAGCTTGGCTACCTTTGGAAGGATAACCTTGGGACACGTTGGATTCAGGAGAAGCAGGTGCATTATATTGGTTAACTGGAGTTCGCTGGGATTGGAAACCTTGGGAACCAGAAGGTAAAGAAGATCCTGAGGTAGCAGGGGCACCATATTGGTTGGATTGGGCTTGGCTACCTTGAACTCCAGGAGTAGCTGAAGATCCGAATTGAGAAGCGGCGTTCTGGTTGCTCTGAGAAGCAAAACCTTGGGATCCAGTTGGTCTGCTTGATCCGAAGGGAGTTCGGTCTGCGGGGGCATTGTATTGGTTAACTGGTGCCTGACTTCCTTGAGATGGGAATCCTTGAGCTCCGGATGGAGTCGCACTAGGAGCTTTGTACGAATAACCTGAATCACGACCACTTTGGAAAGCTCCAGCAGAACCAGAAGCAGATGCACCGAATGGAGAAGAATCTTTAGCTCCGGACGAGGAAAGAGCAGGAGCTTGTCCGCGCTGAGATTGGAATCCAGATTCAGAAGAACCAGCAAGTCCAGACTGGGCAGAGCCATTGTATTGAGAAGGTCTCTGACTGGCTTGACCACGTGGAGCTGAGAAGCCTTGAGGACCTGATGCTACAGGAGTAGATTGAGAAGGAGCATCATATTGGGAAGCAGACGACGGAGCATTTTGGGATGAGAAACCAGAGGCAGGAGTTGATCCACTTGGAGCAGATTGGGCTGGGGCACCATACTGAGAGGCAGGTCCTTGTCCACGTTGAGAAGAGAAATCTTGAGAAGCAGAGGAACCAGTTGGTCCGGATTGATCAGGAGCGCCATATTGAGAAGAAGACTGACCAGGTTGACCTTGAGCCTGGTATGCAGGAGAAGCACCACCGTAGTATTGCTGGGATGAAGGTCCAGAGTCTTCTTCAGGGTTGTAAGCACCTGTAAAGTATAAAAATAAATAAATTATCGTTTGAAAAAAAAACCATTATAAGAAAAAGGCATCATACGATACTAGTGAACGTCTACATACGAGTATGAAGACACATTTTTAATTAAAAAATTAAATGATTATAGCAACATTAATTCGTTTCAATAAACTATTGCTTGTATCATCACCATAATCAAAGTTATTACAAAATAACATTACAACTATATGTATTAGCTTTTCAACTATAATATCATCGCAGTCTAAGGGGACAAGTGGCCTGTATCATTTTTAAGCTTATTACAAAAGTATTTATAATTATAAAGACTAATTAAGTAAACACAAACGAAATAGGAAATATTTTCCAACTTAGTTGTTTTTAAAAAAATCTTTCATCTATATATTAGATGAAAAAAGGAGTGCTACATAACAAAACATACATTGGCATTTATAATGTAAATAGACATCTATATACCAAAGTTTAAAAAAAAAACTGATAAAAAAATTTCAACGTGTTATATTGTTTAAAACAATACTATCAAAAATGGTGACCCAATAAATAATATTATTATTTCATCACGTGTACTCTTGTGTACTCTTCAAACGATGAGCAATAACCATAATGTACTAAAAATACAGTTCAAAGGTGCGTTATTGCTATTAAAAGTTAATGGCAGTAATTAAATTCGTTACTTAACATTAAATGAAGCAAATTGGTTGGTATTCAATGTCAGTCATGTACCACATGACACGACCATCTAAATAAATTGTAATATGTCTCACGAAAACTTTTTAATAATTGAAGTTCATTTTCATCATTATATACATTTTTAGTTGCGACACGTTTCTTGTTACTCAATAGGCTATTGATCATTAACTTTATGGCAGGGTAATAGAGTCGAAAGTCTTTTATTGCAATCGCTTTTTTGAGGTAGCTTGATGAGCTGCTGTCTGGGCCGTCTTGCGTGATTTTTTTTCCTTAGGCAATGACGTACTAATGCCGGATATGTTATTAGTGATATGGATAGGCCTATTACTTTGTTTTTTTTTTAATAAGCCCTTCGGCATTGTTTGTTTGTTTGGTTGTAGCCGCGGCTGTCGATTAGTCTTGTTTTAGTATATTAGAACGAGAGAGAACCTTTGTTATAGACAACTGACAGACTATTTTATTTTTGACGGTCTAAAAGGACTTATAATAATTTCTTTTGACTATTAATTGATTTTGACTCGGATTCAGACTACAGTCAGGAAATTAGAGAAGCAACTGAACCAATTGTTTCAGATTGAGCAGGAGTACCCTTTTGAATAGGAGACTGACCAGATTGACCTTGAGCCTGGTATGTAGACAAAACTGAAGAGATTGAGATATTTATCTTAGAAATTGCCATTTGGTTTTATGAAAATCAGAAAAATCGAGCATACTCTACAATTATCTAACGAGGTTTTTTGGAAACCAGCTTGAATTGAATGTAATTATGTTTAAGAAAAAAAATGATTGGATTAAATAACTTCCTGAGTAGCTACGAATAGTTTTTTGATAGTTCTTCTAGTCCTAATATAAGTTAGTAGTAGTAGTTATATCCAACTATTGTATCTGAATACATCCGTTTTAAGTTTCCACAAGAATGAACGAGTAAAAAGCTGTCAATATGACATCTATTATGCAAGTGTATGCAAAACTACAATAGGTACAATGGCACCCACGAAGTTCACAATAGCTGCGGTTGCTACAAGAAATATATTCGAGGCTTTTATCAAAGCGCAATAAATTATATTATCACTCAATCACTTGTTAGGACAACAATGAAAAATTCTCACAAATGTGACCACATAGCCTTTGATTATAATTATTTCATAGCTATATTTTATCAGAACTAATTTATATTGCTAATTTTATGACGCTTTACTCAGAAATGTGTCCACTAAAATGCTAATCGTCTTTTCTAATTTTATTTGGTTAGGATAAGAAATCAAGTTCCACCTCTCAGAAAGTAAAGTAAGGACGTTTGAAAAATAATCACAAAATCTTACCTTCTTGCGTGCCAGCAGCAGCAGCCCTTGCGTTTTCTTCGATGGACTTCAGGATCTCTTCAGGAATGGGGTGAGGAGTAGGCAGGTGGTCTCCCTGAGGCTGATAACCGTTCTCGTCAGCAGTGTAAGTAATTCTGTACTCCTGGCCATCGTCACCAGTGTAAGCGAAAGCTCCCTGAGCCTGGACACCGTTTGTAGCAACACCAGATTCTTCAGCAGAAATTCCGTTCGAAGTCTCGAAGCTGTACGAGAAGGTTTCTCCGTCATTTTGGTTTTCGTATTTTAATATTTCGGCATTCCTGTCAATCGAAGCACGTTCGCGTTCAGGTTGGGCCTGACCAGTGTACGCATTCACATCTTGAGCTCCGAAGCCCAATCCCGCGTCCTGTCCAGCAACTGGGCTGCCAATGGCTGCTCCGAACTGAGTAGACTGTTGAGCGGCGTTTGCTGAGGGTCCAAATCCAGAGGAACCTTGGCCAGGTGCTGAGCCAGATCCAGAAGGAGCACCATATTGTGAAGCTGGTTGGTCAAACCCAGACGAGCCTTGGGCAAGCGATGAGCCAGATCCAGAAGAAGCACCAAATTGGGAGGCAGGCTGGCTAAATCCAGAAGGACCTTGGGCAGGCGATGAACCTGAACCAGAGGGAGCACCAAATTGAGAGGCAGGCTGGCTAAATCCAGAAGGACCTTGGCTAGGCTTAGCAGCACCACCAGTAGGAGCACCGTACTGTGGAGCGGGCTGACCAAATCCAGACTGTCCAGCGTTAGGCAGGCCGAATCCAGCAGATCCAGAGGAAGTAGGCTGGCCAAATGAAGAAGGACCTTTAGGAAGGTCAAATCCAGGCTCGCTAGGGGCAGTTAAAGCCCCAGGACTTCCGCCAGCAGTTCCAGCACTTGCAGGAGGCAAGTAGGTCCTGTCCAACTTGTCAGCATAGCTGCACGCCAGTACCGATAGAATGATTAGCTGAAAGCACAAAATTAATATAATTAGACTCGTTAGACGTAGGTAATGGGAGGTTATGAGTTCAAGTAAAACGGTTTGAAGCCACAGATTTGTCATAAATTGTATAATATTGAGTCACAGTTAGAAAGGGAGGCCCTTGATGGAGAAACGGGCCATCTAGTTTACAAAACACAAGTTGATGATTGAGGTCAAAGTTTAATTTTTTTAAATAAGTTCAACTAAACCTATCAGTCTTTTGTCACTATTAAAGATTAGGTAAGTCCAAAAACTTTCACTGCAATCCACATTTATATGATTGTAAAAACGAAATCACAAAAAATATTTTAATTTATTTTTAAGATGTATTTTATTAATTGTTGTAATTTTATTTATTTTAAAATTAATATTATTTTTTAAAAACGTATTTATTATTTGTAATGTAAAAATAAAATTTTAATTATTCGAATGTATTACCAGCTTCATGTCAAAAGCTGTTGTGTTGCCACGGGATGTTCACTGAATGTGCATATCGGAGTAACTGCATCCTATTTATATGAAGTTAATTCGTTCACCATGCTAAGTTACTCAAAATTGTACTCACGGAGCTAACCTTTGACAGTACTAATAGTGAAGATTCCACACAAAGTATGTCTGTGTGTGTATCCTCAATATTACTCAATAACTCGATCAATATTACTGATACTCTAATTACTGTGAGCGTGTGTGCATGTGTGTGTGGACCCATGTATGGACGGATTTAGTTTGTTTATTTCGAATTGGAGATCCGTGGTAATATGTTGGGAGGTTGTCGTGTGGGCGGAAGTGTTAGGGTTCTTTATAACAAAAATGTTTTTTTTATAAAATATTATGAATCAAATTTTTGTTTTCCAATTATATATATTTTTAATTTTAAATTTGTACAAGTAAACCAATAGAACGTAACCATGTTTAATCCCACGGCAATAAAGATGAGACAGACAGTTTATTTTCTGGTGTTTACAATACAATAACATTAATACAATAAGTTTTTTAGTTTTGTTTATTAGCGGCTTCGCACAGACTGTAACTAAAACAGCTGAAAATAATTTTCATCACTATTTAATTGATGCAAACATACATACTTATAAAACTTCGTCTTCAATCCATCTTTATGTACCTATTAAAAAAATCGCATCAAAATCCGTTGCGTAGTTTTAAAGTTTTACGCACATGTACACAGGGATATATAGGGACAGAGAACTTTGTTTTATACCTACTATGTAGTGGGATTGGATAACTTTATATACTAAAATATCAATTTAGCATTTGAGAAAGGCTCCGGTGTGTCTGCTGAAACTCGATTTGTAGCCTAGGGGTTTAATATCTAGTCAACAACATTATTATTCAGTAAGCTCCATGTTCAACACTAATTAGTATTGTTCCTAAACAGCAACTTAACGTGCAATGGTGTAGTAATTTATATTTCGTCAACAATGACCAACTTTTAAAATGATGTTGATTTTGTCAATATAATTTGTAAACACAAGAAAATGATACTATAGAATAGTTTTAAATCTGAAGATATTTACTAGATATCTCGATTATTTAAAAAACTCTTCTTTTTATTAATCTGGTATACAAAATATATTGATATAATCAAATTAAAACAGTTCGTGGATGGTGGAGTCTTTTAATATCTTTCACCCTTTTTTTGCTACGCCCAGGGTGAGGCGAGAGAAAGTGTCAGACTCTTATTGACTAAAAGCCGTTCCTTCTCCTGCTCTAGACCGAAGTCGCGATACCATTCCATCATCAAGTTAAGTCACAATAAGTTAACTCTTTCTTATAAATGTAATTAGGTTAAAACTTATTATTCCTTAAAACAATTGAGCTAGGTGTATAAAGTGTGATCTTTGTTTTTCTATTTATTTATTTATTTATCCTTACGCCGGCTAATATTTATCACCCTGGATGCAAAATTTTGGAAAATCGTTGAAGCCGTCTACGAGTTTCACAATTGATACACAAGATTTGCTCATTTTAAAGTTTTAGATAATATAATACAAGTATAATTTTATAAGGAACCATATTGTTCATTTAGGCAGTACTTGAACAATTTTCACGGACAAATTTAATTCTATTGAATTAAAATTAAACGTGGTGCGTCCCTTCAATTATATTTATATGTAAAAATAATCAATGACACGTCATCGTACTTGTAATAAAACAATTACGAATATTAACTTTTAATAGTTTAATAATGTACAACACACTATTTTTAGTAAATAACATAACAGATTTTTATAATTATTCGATGCTGTACTTACTATGCGTGTGTACTGTGCATACTTGATAGACTTTTATTTTTAATTAAATATATTTATAATTGTTTTTCTTAGTCACTGTTTGTCCGGGTTCAATATACTGAGGATCACGTTTATATTTGCATCCTTGTCCTAAAAATATGCTATTTTATGAAAAAAAATAATTACTTAAGTACATTTTTTAAATTAATTTTCTAGCTAAGAGTTAAATGTCTGCCTTTTTAATCAAAAATGCTATAAAAAACATGTAGTAAAGAAGTTATACTCAATTAGGTACTCGATACAACAATGCAAAAAAATATATATAAAATCATATCATTTTCACTTATGATTTTAAGTTATAGATACATTTTCCTCTTATTATTAAACAAGAAGTAATTTGTTTGACGCAAAATAATGTAACGTCACATCACACAATGTCGTGAACATACCAAGAAAATTAAGGCTTTGACCGGCTGTTGTTGATTTGCCACATAAATTATTTATCACCTAGGGGTATGAAACATGACACGCTAAACAGACGGTGGTACAGTGGTCACGTACCGCCGTACTCAGCGAGGCTCGTGCTCGAGGGATGTGCCGTCACATGCGTTTCACCGTGGGGGTTCCGGAGTAGGTCTCTTGTAGAGGACCCGGGGCCCCTTACAGGTGATGAGGGTGGCCACCGGGGTGGTTTTAGTGAGGTAAAAATCCCACACTCCCTAGTCTTTCTCCCCAAAAAGCTAGGCGCCTTTTGAAGGTTTCCCCCGATACAAAAAGAAAGGGGTATGAAACATAGCCAGTAGCCGATTTTCAGAACTACTGAATATGAACTATACCTTATTTGGTAAAAATCAGTCAAGCCCTTTCGGAGCATCAGCATGTCACAATGACACAAGAATTTTGTATATTATGTCCATAAAAGATTGTTCAAGTACATTTACGTTTTTACCACATATTTAGTATGTGCCACGGAATAAGTAGGTAAGTAATGTAGGTAAAATCTAGGCTTTAGGAAACTGTATTATTTTTTATGAAATAGCTTCTGGTTCGGACTACAAATGGAACATCAACAAGCTTTTTTTAAATGTGTGGAAAATCATCAAAAGCCTTCTCCCGCCCTAGGTGGGGCCTGAGGGAGTGTCAGACTCTTAACGACTGATCCGAACCGGGGCCGGGGCCGAAGTACCCTGACAACTGATAACAATCTTAGACTGGAAGAGCTATTACATGCTTTTCTCGATAGTTATTTTATTCTCTACATTATGTACAAGATAGTAGCCGCAGCGTTGTGGTGGCCAGGGGGTTAAGGCGCCCGCTTCTGTCTTGGTGATTCATGCTCAAACCTTTTTCGTCTGTGAAGAAGTCTTTGCTTAACAATGGACTCTTACAGGCTTATGATGAAGATAGTAACGACTCATTGATGGAAGTCTATATTTAGTTGAAGACATTTTGTCTCTTATGTGATGATGGTATTTAATTGACAACATAAAAGACAAGTTAATAGATTTTAAACGAACCATGACATGACTTCCTTTAATTAATTAGAGTATCCATATGCTTATATCGTCTGACGAGATAAAAAAAAATAAGAGGAAATCAATCGAAATTGAATCGTATTTACTTTGAAATAAAAATAAAATTACGAGTCAATTTCACGGCATCTAGACGATTCAGAAACAATTCCCAATCAGAAATCATTCCTTTACTTATTTATTATAATTGAGGTATTCCATTTTGTTAAAACTGGAATTGAACAAGAGTCTATAGGCCTATTACAATCAGTTACATCTTTCTTTGATTAAATACACCGCACATTATTTCGTTAACGAAGTTCAAAAACTTGAAAATAAATAAACTGAGTTCAAAGTATAGTTCATTGGTTACTGTAGTTCAAATTTTAAGTTCATCGTCCAAATTCTTTACGCAGCTTACATAACACAAGCTTTGCCCTGCGGCTTTGTTTGCGTCATATGATGTTATGATGTAGCGTGCCCATAATAAGCTTCTTCAAAAATAATAATTTAAGTTTCAATTATGAAAATTAATAGTTCAATTGTTTTTAATTTGGTCTCCAGTTTCATCACATGGAGGATTAATTCTTAATAACTCATAATGTCGTGGTGGCCCGGAGGTTAAGCAGCCCGCTTCTCATGCATGAAGGTGCGGGTTCGAAACCTGGCAAGTACCAATGTGACTTTTTCCGAGTTATATGTACTTTCTATGATTATTTAGACACCACTGACATACGGTGAAGGTAAACATCGTAAGGAAACCTGGACTTAAAATTTATAATTATAAGTTTGAAATCGCCAACCCGCATTGAGCAAGCGTGGTGATTAATGCTCTAACCTTCTCCGTATGAGAAGAGGCCTTTGCTCAGCAGTGGGCATTTAAAGGCTGATGATGGAACTCATAACGTAATACACTTAAACCAGGTGCGGAACAGCTTAGACTGATGTGCTTCTGTAAGGGTGTCCTTATTGAGGGATGGAACATCATTGAATGACCTCTTACGCTCTGCCGGGTTAAAGTAAGAGATTATTTTTTCTCCTGTTTCGAGCCAGGCGATAGTATATTATTGAGCGACGAAATTAATTGTTTCAGTGTCGTCATGGGTTTGACTAGACTCGGCTTATCTCAAACAAAAATACCCTTATAAGGGTCTAAAATGGTCTTATGGCCATTTCAGGTGCGCGCCGATCACGACTGTTTGTAATATTTATGACCAAGCTAACAGAAAAATATCCCAATACCCATACGTAGTACGTATCCCTATCCCAAATGAAATTAGTTTATATAATATATGTAATTGTATGTACTGCCCAATTGACTGTGCCTAGCTAAATAAAATATATAGCAATCCATTACTCAGAAAAAATAGCCAGAGGAGTTAAAACTACTTTGCCGTCCAGGCCGTCCTATTAGGGATTAGGAATATGAGGATTGGCTTTCTTGAAGTACACATAACTCGGAAAAAGTCAGATTGGTACTTGACAGGTTTCGAACCAACACCCTCATACATCAGAAGCGGGCTCCTTAACCTCCGGGCCACCACGACACGAAAGCGTTGTGATGCCCGTTTTCTGTGAGAACGTGGCATCACTCCGGTCGAGCTGGAAAGATGAACAGACAGACAGTCAAGTAGTTTTAACATTAGTGTAGTCTTCTCAAACACATGTGCTTAACGAAAAGCAAATTATTTGATATCTCATTACATTTGAAA